AATTTTTCGTCTAGTTTCTTTAGCCATTTTCGAATATTTTTGGTGGCTGCTGCGCCCTCCTGGGCCCCATCCACCTGGGGGCGCTGCTGCCAGCCGCGCTGCCTGCGGCGGAGCGGACGCCTCCCGGCCCACCGTGGAGAGCTGCTGGCCCTAAGCCGGGCCCGTCCCTCTACAAGAGGAATATCAAAAAATAGTCCAAAAATACTCCGGGGGCGGTGTTTTGACTAGCTTGGATTGTTTTTGCCTTTTTTGGCTACCTTTCATTTTTCGCTCCAAATCCGCCTGCAGGGGACACGCCCGACCGAATGCTGGCCCCAGAGCCCCGACGTTTTTTTGGGGGGGGCGTTTTGTGCACAGCGTCGAGCCCCAGAGGCCTGGACCCCCTCCCCGGGACCGGCTTCTCCTCCCGGGCCGTCTCTTGACGGCCCCGCGGCCTCCTGGGGGCCCAAGGCGGCGAGGAGCCTCCCGTCGCGACGTCTCCCACGACGCGAGGGGGTCTGGGGCTGCTGCTCGGCAGGTCTCCCCAGGTCCCCTGCCCCGTGTGCGGCCCCTGGCCGGTCCTCCTCCTCCTCCTCCTCCTCCTCCTCCTCCTCCTCCTCCTCCTCCTCCGCCTCTTCCTCCTCCCTCCTCCGTCCTCCTCCTCCTCCCTCCTCCTCCTCCTCCTCCTCCTCCTCCTCCTCCTCCTCCTCCTTCGCTGACCTCCTCCTCCTCCTCTCCTCCTCCTCCTGGCCTCCTCCTCCTCCTCCTCCTCCTCCTCCTCCTCCTCCTCCTCCTCCTCCACCCTCCTCCTCCTCCTCCTCCTCACTCCTCCTCCTCCTCTCCTCCTCCTCCTCGCTCCTCCCTCCTCCTCCTCCTCCTCCTCTCCCTCCTCCTCCTCCTCCTCCTCCTCCTCCTCCTCCTCCTCCTCCTCCTCGACTCGTCGCGGAGAGCTGCCGTCAAGTCCTGGCTGCGTGTCGCTCCTCTCTTCGCCTCGGTGTGCCCCTAAGAGAGCCGCCTGCGTCAGTGCGCGTGCCCGCCTGTCGTGCCCGCCTCCGCTGCTGCACCCGCAGCCGCTTCCGTCGGCGGCTGCATTCCCATCGACACGTTTCGGTGGTAGTCACCCTTCAGCGCGTCCCGCTGTTCCCCTTGGACCTACCAGCCTTGGAGTAAAGTGTGTGTGTGTGTGTGTGTGTGTGTGTGTGTGTGTGTGTGTGTGTGTGTGTGTGTGTGTGTGTGTGTGTATGTGTTTCGGTGCTTTGGTGCATCGGCAGCCTGGGGCGTCTACACCTCGCCAGGCCCGCGCGCTGGGCTCTCGGGCGAAGGTCCATCGCCTGCCGAGCCTGTGCAGGAGCCGAGCCGCGGGCAGCGCCCCCGCCGAACTCCCCAGGGTGCAGAGCGCCAGGGCCCCCTCGAGGCCGCGCCCCACCCTAGGCCCCTCAGCCTGGTGCCGAGGGGGGCTGAAAAGCGAGACCACGCGCCGTGCCCAGGCCCCGCCAACGGCGAATGCGGGCCCAGGCACCCCGAGGGCCCCCTCAGGCCCTCCAGCCACGGCGGACACCGCGCCAAGGGGGGGCATTGTCTGTACCGCTGGGGCCACTCTCAGAGGCGGAACCCGCACCCCGACGACGAGGCAGAGGCGCAACGGCCAGCCCAGCACTCATGAGGCCATCCGCGCACCTGGCACTCTTGCTGCTTTGAGTGAGGATGCCCACCGCTGCGCTATCCAGAATCGAATCCGTGAGGCCTCATCGCCTCGATCTCGCGAATGTCCTCCGCGAGCCTCCGCAAGGACAGCGCTATGTCCTCGGCGTCCTCGGCGTCCTCGATGGTACGAGCTATCCCGCCAGGCAAAGCCATGGCCAGCTCGTGCTCCAGCTCGCTCCGCAGCTTCACCAGGGACTCAAGCCACTGGTCCTTGTCAAATGTCCACAGTGGCAGGTCCAGGAGCTCGCCTTCACCTTGTCTCGGGAAGGCCTGGCGGGCCGCGTGGAACGGGTCGGGCATAGGCTCTATGTCGAGTACGTGCGGGGCGCACGCGAGGCCCGTGCCCCAGTCGAAGAAGACGAACGGGCAGGAGGCAACGCCCAGCAGCAAGGCCACCCTGAGGACGAAAAGGAAGACGCTCCGCACGCGAGCCTGAACGGCGTCGCTGAAGATGCTCTCGCCCACCTTGCCCTCCAAGGTGCCGCCGTACTCCGTGCCGATGCCATCGACGCCGTCGACGGGCAGGTCTGAGCGCAGATCCGCCCCCGCAGGGCGAGGAACATGCAGAGCCCCACGATCGTGAACTCCAGCATCAGGAGCGTGCCGATGCTGTACTCCTTGGCGGTCCCGCTGCCTCTTGACCTGGGTGCCGTCGGCCCGGCCGTCGTAGAGGCCCTCGTCCTCAACCACGCCTGCTGCCGCCCTCGGCACCTCCGTCTCCATCAGCTGCTCCTCGGGGCCGCCCCCGCCGTGGCCCCCAGGCTCGACGTCCCGCGGCGCCTCAGGAACAGGCTGCACCTCGGCACTGTTCACGACCTGGTCGGTGCCCTCGCACTCGTCCACGTCCAGCTCCGAGTCCTCGCCAACCGCCGCGCTGAGCTGTGGGGAGGGCGGGACCTCGCCCAGCAGCTGGCCCTCGGGGGTGTCGATGACCTGGTCGGTGCCCTCGCACTCGTCCACGTCGGGCTCCCCGATGTCCAGGCTGGTGGTGCCCTCCAGCTTGACGCCGTCGGCGTGGTCCTCCGTCGTCTCTTCCGCCGCCTCCGGGCCCGGCGGCGCCGGCACGCGGGGCCCGCAGCGCCCGCCGCGCTGGGCCCGCTGCGGCTGCGCCAGGGCCTGCCGCAAGGCCTCGACGCCCTTGCCGAGGTCGACGTGCGCCCCGACGTTGCGCCTGGCGCGAGCGGCGCCGCCTGGCTGGGCGCCCCGCAGCTGCTGGCGCATGGCGGGCTCCATGGCCTGCCAGCGCATCGGGAGCTCGGCGTCCTCCTCGGAGCCGATCCCCTCCAGCAGCGCCCATGTCGTGCGGAACGCGGCAGCGACCGCGGCGGCTATCGCCTGCTGCGAGGCGCCGCCCGCCGCAGCTCCCTGAGCAGCGCCTTGGACGGCCATCGCCATGACCAGCCCCGCGCCACCGTTGGACCGTAGATCCATTGCCTTGCCGTCGTCGGGCGCCGCCGCCATCGCAGGGGCCGCGACAAGGAGGGGACAGGGACAGAGCCGCTCTCTGTGCCCGCCGAGGCGACGGGACTCTACAGGGAGAGACCACGCCGCGCACCTCCTGCACAAGGCAGGCTTGAGCCAAAATGGCTACGGGTGTGTGTGTGTGTGTGTGTGTGTGTGTGTGTGTGTGTGTGTGTGTGCGTGCGTGCGTGCGTGCGTGCGTGCGTGCGTGCGTGCGTGCGTGCGTGCGTGCGTGCGTGCGTGCGTGCGTGCGTGCGTGCGTGCGTGCGTGTGTGCGCGTGTGTGTGTGTGTGTTTGTGTGTGTGTGTGTGTCTGTCTGTGTCTGTGTTTCTGTGTTTCTGTGTTTCTGTGTGTCTGTGTGTGTGCGCGTTGAAATGGGGAGCTTATCACATGTTCTCCTTCTATCTCTTGCGAAATAACAAGTGAACCAACCCGGCGTATCGAGACCAGCACGCTTTTCCCTCCAAGCCCATAGGCGTTCTGTCTTCCGATAAGAGACCGACGACGAATGCGAGGTTCACTGTGGCGCCTTTCATGGGCCCCCGCTCCCTGGGCAGCCCCTAGGCTCTCCTTGCTTCTGATCCACTGGCCCTACAATGGCCCAACACCTGCCAGATATGGCTCCACTGAACATAGGGCCCGACCGCAGATGCTTCTAGACCCTCGCAAAACAGCCGCAGAACGCCCTACAAGACTGCCCGACGACCGCAGACAGCATACCAGCATGCCAAAGCCCGCGAGAAACACACCCAGGGACCTGCAGGAAATCCTGGGGAGGCCAAGCACATCTGTTAATATTAATCTGCCGCTCCGGTAGGGCCTCCCAGACGGCGCCGTGGCAGACCAGGGGCCATGGAAGGCCTCCAGGGGCCCCAAGACGGCCTGATTGTACCTCAAGGCGATCCTCAGACCCTACAGGACCGCCCCAAGAGGGCCTCAGGACCAACCGAGGACGGCCCCAAGACCTCCAAGCAGCCTAGGCCGTTCCCGTGAACCTTCCTCAGCCCAAAGTCATCCCTGGGTGGCCCCAAAAACATCGAAAAGAACTCTCTACGAGGCCCCCAGGTGGTCTGCAACAGACCCCTCAGAGGCCCCCCGAGCCACCCAAGGGGACACCGAGGAGGCCCCGAATAGACCCTTAAAGGCAACGTCATAACCATGCAACGCTACAGGTCTGGCCGAGTACACCTGTCGTGCGCGGCTTCCCCACGCGCGGCGGCGGATCGGCGCGGAAGCGCAACTGCATGGTCAGATCGTTTCCGATGAGCATCATCTCTCTTCCCTGCGGGTACTCGGGTGTCTTCAGCGTGCACAAAAAAGCAACCATGCCGACAGAGTTCATGCCTGCTGGGCGGCCCTGCTTCTCCACCAACTTCCCATCCTCGAGCACAAGCTCGACCGCGCTGAAGCTGTTCACCGGCGTCTCCTGCTTGGCCTGCAGCCAGCTCTTCACCAGGCCGGTGTGGAAGAGCAAGGGGAAGTCGTATATGTAGGTGGAGTCCGTCCGGCGCGCCACGGCGCGCTTCACCTGCAGCTTGTCCTCGATGGGCTTGCTGATGACCTTGCCAGGCTCCGTCGCCTCGCCCGTCTCTGAGTTTGTCCAAAGGCTGGGCTTGCCCGTCTCCTCTGGAAGCCGACAAAACGGCACAACAATCAAATGTCGGAGGTTCAGGCGGATTTCTTGGAACGGCACTGAGCCCCCCTCCGTGGCGAGTGGAGCCCGCCGGGAGCGGCGCCAGAGGCGCGGCCATGGGGACTCAAGCGCCGGCCCAGGAGATCCGCGCGTACTTCAGACAATTTTATTTTTATGCTAGGCTGTCTTCTTCGTTCCTCGTCAATCGCCTCCAGGAAGGCTTTCACCTCCCAGCCGCGGACGCTGGAGGCGATCATCCTGATGGCAAGCGGGGGAGCCGAGGCGGTGGGCGCCGGCACCCACACCTTGATGGACATCTCCTCGACGCGGCAGTTGTTGATGCGCACGCTGTGGGCCGCGACGCTCGCCAAGACCGCGTCGCTGAACAGAGCCCGGATGAAATTCACGTCCCGCTCGGTGCAGCCCGTGATCGGCGCCACGTAGTGGACAAAGACGCGCGAGGAGGGGTGCTTTCCGTCCAGCTCCGGAGTGTTCACCGCCTTCTCGATGTTCTCGAAAGCGAACGACAGGTCCTGCTTCACCGAACCTCCAAACGTGTTCAGGTCCATGGCCTGGTGCGAGACACCAGTAATGTGCACGAGGGCGGCAGTGCTGTCCACCTTCGTGCCGTGGAAGATGGCGTGGACGCGCCCGACCTTCAGGGGCTGCAGGTCGTATTCGTTCTGCAGGTGCCTCAGGTCAGTGAGGAACGGGAAATTAGAGCGCATGCCGCGATAGACCGAGCTCTCTTTCCAGCAGCCTCCATCCTCGAGGTGGTAGTGCAGATAGGACGGCCTGCCCTTGTTCTTGGCAATAACGATGTTCAGCCGGGAACACTTCTTGGCGGCGACTTTCGGGCCGATCTTCGATGCGAATTCGGAGGTACGCCGCAAGAAATCGCTGTCGCCTTCCAAGTCGGAATCCTCGGCAAGCAGCTTGGCGCGGGACTTCGGCTTGAAGACCTGCAGGGATGCGGCGCCGCGGTCGCTGTTCGTCGCGTCCTTCGCGACCAGGATGTGGACCTTTGTGAACTCTGGCAGCGCCGGCATGATCCAGGACCGCGCCAGGTCGTCGTAAGAGTCGGTGTCCTTCAGGATGATGGCGTAATCCTTGTGCACCTTGCTCTTCACTCCAGGATGCCTGTAGGAAATCACGAGGTGCAGCTGGGCCGCCGGCGTCTGCTCGATCACATCCTTAGCCTCCACTTGCTCAATCTCCAACACCTCGAAGCCGCGCTGGAGCCTGCGCAAATAGACCTCGGCGGCCTTCTGTCGGATCGCAGGGTCCGTGTCGGAAAACATGCTGGCCATGAGGTCCAGCCCGAGATAGCTGGACCCGCGCGTCTGCGACGAGTTCGCCAGCTCGATGAGGTCCCTGCGCGCGGTGCTCGTGAGCAGCTGCCGAAGCTCGGCCATGCTCGAGTTCGTCGGCGGGGTCTTGGACAGCTCGAGCGCCTGGTGCGCCAGCACCTGCACCTCGAGGTAGCCGCCCTTCCTGGGCAGGCCCGCCAGCTCCTCCAGGGTGGCCAGGGCGGGCCCCGTCAGCGCCGGCGCTCCTGGCAGGCCCCCTCCCCTCTCGCTCCCTCCCCCCTCGCCCAGCTCCCTGCTCCCTCCCTCCTCCTCCCTCTCCCTCCCCCTCCTCTCTGCTCCCCCCCTCCCCTCCTCCCTGCCTCCCTCCTCCTCCTCCCTCCTCCTCCTCCCTCCTCCCTCCTCCCTCCCCTCCTCCCTCCTCCTCTCCTCCTCCACTCCTCCTCCTCCTCCTCCTCCTCCTCCTCCTCCGCCTCCTCCCTCCTCCCCTCCTCTCCTCTCCTCCTCCCCTCCTCCTCCTCCTCCTCCTCCTCCTCCTCCTCCTCCTCCTCCTCCCTCCTCCTCCTCCTCCCTCCTCCCTCCTCCCTCCTCCCTCCTCCCTCCTCCCTCCTCCCTCATTCCCTCCTCCCTCCCCCTCCTCCCTCCTCCCCTCCCCATCCTCTCCCTCCCCCCTCCCCCCTCCCTCCTCCCCCCTCCCTCCTCCTCCTCCTCCGCCCCTCCTCCTCCTCCTCCTCCTCCTCCTCCTCCTCCTCCTCCTCCTCCTCCTCCTCCTCCTCCTCTTCCCCCCTCCCCGCTGCCTCTTCCCCGCTGCCTCCGCCCGCTCCTTGTCCGAGGGCCCCCTCCAGGAGCCCAGAGCCCCAGACGGAGTGGAGCACGGCGGAGACGATCTCCGTGGTGGTGGCGAGCTTGTCGTGGGCCAGCAGCAGCGCCAGGAGCTGCTCCACGCCCCCCTGGAACCTGGCGGTTATCTGCGTCTCGTCGCCCCCGACGAGTGTCGCGAAGAAGCGCTCGTTGTCGCAGAAGACGTTCAGGAGCCTGCTGCCCAGCTCCTGGGCCTTGTTCACGGGCGCCTTGTCGAGCATCTCCTGCACTGTGAAAGGGGGCCCCAGGACACACGCAAATAAATAGACACAACTCCCAGAATTCCCCATATCTGATTGTTTGTTTATGGGTTTTTGTCTTCCCCCCCACTTCCCATGTTTTCCCATATTTTCTGGGGATCGACGATGAATCGTGTCTGTGTGTTTCTTCCCCTCCTGAACTATGACCGCCCCGCCCATCTGAGCGTACTCGGCAGGCAGCGAGTAGCCGCGCAAGCACGCCTCGATGACGTTGAAGAGCTCTTCCGGGCCTGCGGTGCTGAGCACCGCCCGAGACCCCCCTTTTCCAGCGCTCTCCGACGGCTTCCCGCTCTCTTCGCCGGAGAGCAGGTACTCGGCGGAGAAGGTCTTCACCGTCTGGACCTTGCTGGGGTCTGCGAGCTCCAGGGTCGCGAGCAGCTGGCCCGCGGAGACGATGGCGCCCGGGGACAAGGCCTGGTTCGGTGGCAACTCACGGGGGCCTCCCATGCCATCTTGTCGGCTCTTGCGAATCGACGCCAGTCGACGCTAATCGACGGCCGAATCGACGCTAATCGACGCTAACCGACGCTAAATCGGCGCTATCTCATCGACTCCCAGACGCTAATCGACGCTAAAGACGGATTTGCGATGGTACACGAGGCTCCCATGATTTGCCACCGAAAAGGCCTGGTATATTTTGCCCGTCGCGCTGGACTTCAGGGACATGATCATCTTCATGGCCTCCAGCTCCACGAAGGCCTCTCCCTCTGCCACGCTGTCGCCGTCGGCGTGGAGGTAGCGCACCACCTGCGGCGGCGAGCGAGGGGGGTAAGTGAGAAGGAGAAGGCCCTCTCAGAAGGCCGCGTGACTTCTCAGAAGCCCTCGCGCCTTCCCAAAAGTGTTTTGTGTCTTCGGGGAAGGCTCAGTAAAATTCTCAGAAGGCTGGGAACTTCTGAGCCTTCCGAGAAGGCCTTCTCCTTCTCATATTTCCCCCCTGGGCTCGCTGCCGACACCTTCCCGTTGAACTCCGAGCGCAGCTCGGAGGGGTCACGCACGTGCGGGAATGTGATCGTGATGCCGCCCTCGACGCGCAAGCGAAGAGCCAGGGGCTCCTCCTTGCCCACCACCTGCGCGACCCTCGTGGAGCAGGGGCCGACCGTCCTGGCATCCCTCTGGGCCTACCCCGACATGCTCCTGTAACGAAAGACTGCCCTAATAGCAAAAGCAGTGCTCTCATAATAGAACGCCGAGCGACGAAAACGAGGCTGCGTCAGCCAAAGTTGCTCCAAGGACACCTTATGCAAGCCACAAGAAGTTCGTAGAACATTACTTTGTGGGCCTGCAGACGAGTCTAGAGAACAAAAAACATGCACATCAACTTTCGATAGTCCGCGCGGAATTCTTGGAATTGCGCTAAGCCCCGCGCGCCAGGGGCGGCGCCGGAGGCGCCGCTAGGGGGCCCCAGCGCGGATCCGAGAAATCCGCGCGGAGGGCCGAAAGCCTATGTTTGTGTTTTTTTCCTCCCCCGAGAGTCAGGACGCTTCACCGCTGCTCGGCCTCGTGCCGCTCTTGATGTACAGGGAGCCGTCTGGCTGCTCGCGGATCTTGGCCTGGAACGTCCTGCCAGCGATGGTGAGGCCGTACGTCTCCTCGTCGAAGCGGCAGACCTGCCTCCCGGCCTCCCCTCGCTCGCCCGCTTAACCCGCGGGCGTGGCCTAGATTGAAGGGGGGGCGATGGCTAAGATCAGGGAAACACGTAACGACATAGACATAACAACTTATGGATTCAGACAAGCGTAGACCAAGCATATGAACATACTAACATCCGCCGCTCTGCGGTTGATCGGGAGTTTCTGTATATATAGAAGAAGGGGCGCGCGCTTCTGGGCGAGAGGGAAACGACCGAGAGAAGAAGGGGCGGCCGCCCCACAGGACCTCTCCATGGTGCCGGAAGCCCATCAGGGCTCCCTCAGGGCCCCTCCCCCAGGGCCGGGGCTCCCTCGCCTGCCCCCTCCCCCTCCTCCTCCTCCTCCTCCTCCTCCTCCTCCTCCTCCTCCTCCTCCTCCTCCTTCGCCCCCGTCGGCATATCCAGGCGTGTTATGCAGTCAGGTCGTCCGTCCGGAAACGGTGCCGGAGGCCGCTCTGGGCTCCTCTGGGCATCCCCCCCGGGGCCCGTTTTGTGAGGATGTCTCAGGCGAGGGCGCCGGTTTGGGATTCGTCACCGGATCCAGCGGATCCAGCGGATCCGTCCGGAAACGGTGCCGGAGGCCGCTCTGGGCTCCTCTGGGCATCCCCCCCGGGGCCCGTTTTGTGAGGATGTCTCAGGCGAGGGCGCCGGTTTGGGATTCGTCACCGGATCCAGCGGATCCAGCGGATCCGTCCGGAAACGGTGCCGGAGGCCGCTCTGGGCTCCTCTGGGCATCCCCCCTGGGGCCCGTTTTGTGAGGATGTCTCAGGCGAGGGCGCCGGTTTGGGATTCGTCACCGGATCCAGCGGATCCAGCGGATCCGTCCGGAAACGGTGCCGGAGGCCGCTCTGGGCTCCTCTGGGCATCCCCCCCGGGGCCCGTTTTGTGAGGATGTCTCAGGCGAGGGCGCCGGTTTGGGATTCGTCACCGGATCCAGCGGATCCAGCAGGTCCGTCCGGAAACGGTGCCGGAGGCCGCTCTGGGCTCCTCTGGGCATCCCCCCCGGGGCCCGTTTTGTGAGATGTCTCAGGCGAGGGCGCCGGTTTGGGATTCGTCACCGGATCCAGCGGATCCAGCGGATCCGTCCGGAAACGGTGCCGGAGGCCGCTCTGGGCTCCTCTGGGCATCCCCCCCGGGGCCCGTTTTGTGAGGATGTCTCAGGCGAGGGCGCCGGTTTGGGATTCGTCACCGGATCCAGCGGATCCAGCGGATCCGTCCGGAAACGGTGCCGGAGGCCGCTCTGGGCTCCCCCTGTGGTCCACACGTGCAAAAAATGTACGTGAACGTGTTGCGTACAAAAAGTGTGTGTTGCGTGAATGTAAGCGTGCGTGATCAATACTTGGAGTCTGCCACCCCCTTGTGTCAAAAACAATCATACATTCTTATCATACAAATCGAAACGTTGTAATCCGAGTATAGAAAAGAAGTGACGTAGAGAAAAAACATAGTTTTAACAGGGCCTCGAGAGGACATGGAACGCTTGGGATGGGGGGCAAAGCGTTGGAACGTTTGGATTCTCACTCAGGTCGGGGGCCTCTTGGACACGCGTTGCCTACTCTCGATGTCATGGACATGCGGGGCTGTCTGCGATACATAGCGCCACCGCCCCCCTGCAGTCACCCATCCATCCACAATACTTTCAGTAGCCAGTTTGGGCTCAAGCCAGATGTTTTGGCGATTCGGTTCACGTTTGATTCTTCTCGCGCTAATGGTGCAGCGCTCTGCTTCAAAGTTGGATTCAGATGGTTTGAAACAGTTCGAAACGGTCATCGAGCAACGGGCTGCGCAGAGTGGCAAATCGCTGATCAAGTACTCGGAGGAGAAGAACACGCAGAAGGCGACGCTGGACAAGAAGAGGGTCACAGAGTACGTTGACTTCATCAAGGCTATTCAGGACGCCGTCCCGAATATGAGCATCACTAGCGGCGACGCGAAGAAGTGCCTAGGGAGCGTCTTCGACAACCACAAAGCAGATTGGAACGTGAAGGATGCGCACCGAGAGGATTGGATCAACACAATGGAGCTCCGCATTCGAAATCTCTGCGCTAGTGTCAAAAAAGCAACATCTGTCAAAAAACCTGCGAAGTGGCTGGTCGACTTGGGACTCGCGACCTCACCTTGCCCCACCGCCGACGACGAGGACGATGATGAGAGCGGCACGGGCAAGGATGACTACACTGTCGGATGGAACTTGGAGCTGGGTTTGGCATTCAGGCGCAAGGTCGTTAAGGGCAAGGCAAAAGAAGAGTTGTCTCTACCGATCAATACTTCTAACGTTGCGAAGCTCAGCTCGGACGACCCGATTGTTGCAGAATGGCACGACGGCTATACCAAGGAGATCAACGACATGACCAAGGAGCGCTGGGAGAACCTGACAAAGGCAAGCCACGCGAAGTCTGGCGAAGGCCCCCTCTGGGAAGAAGAGTCCAGCATAACCCGCAACAAACTGTACATCGACCAGAGGGTCGACAGGCACTTATTAATGTCATTATACGAGCAAGGTTCACAGATTCTCATGATGCGCCTGGACACGTTTGCGGACTTGAAGGGCCGCAACCAGAGGCTTCCGAACAACCACGAGGCCGTGTTGACAGGCCTCTCCATCATGAAGCCGATCGCTGAGCAGTACCGCACGGGCAACATCAAGCAGGGTGACAGGACGGCGCTCAGGGAGGCGAGAAATAAAGCCATCACCGAGTGGAAGAGCAAGGGCGAGCTCAAGAAGGTGCACGGCAAGGACAGCTCCACGGTGACCAGCCCCACGAAGACGGAGGGGCGCGACAGCCACGTCGCCCTGAAGAGGCCTGCTGCCAGTGAGGACGCAGCCACTCCTCCATCAAAGCGGAGGCCTGCTGCGTCAACGCCGAAGTGCGGTGACGCCGCCATTCCCCAGAAGCCAATTGCGCCATCCGCATCTGCTTCCTCTGAGGCGCACCTTGCGGCAATGACCGCGTGGCTGGGGTCAGCAGCTGACTGCGGCCCCCCGAGGCGCTCGTGTGCCCAGATCTTCCAAGATGCGGAGCACTCCGCTTCCGATTAGATCAGTGGCTGATCGGAGGCAGCGTCGCGAGACGCAGCAATCCATATCGGTAGGAGTCGGCACCCTGCCGATCGAGCCAGCGAAGCAACTCATGTACAACGCATGCATCAACATGCGCGTGAAAAGCAATCCCCCTTGGTCTTGGGGCTATCTTGCGGCGTCTTAAGGTCATATTGGGCCATATTGGGGCGTCTTGGGGGCATGCCATCTTGAGTGGAACGGAAACGCCTTTCCATTGGGGGGCAGGATGGGGGAGGGCGAGGCGGGGCGAGGGAGCCGAACCCTTGAGGGGAGAGAAGGGGACCGACCGACTCAGGCTGGATGCAGCTCGAACTTCTAACAAGATGGGCGATGCACGTGGCCACGTTCCTTCGCTGCTACTACCTTCAGCGCCTCCACCCAACCCCCTCCGTAGCTATTTTGGTTCGAGAGTCGCTTCGGATTTGCTTCAGACCGTCAGCCACGGGTCTGGTCCAGAAGGATACATTCATGGCACCGTTGTGCCCGATGAAGGTCGCGGCCCCTCGGAGAGCAGCAGGTGCCGCGAAGAAACAGAAACAAGCCACGCCGAAGCAGCCACCCACGGATGAGCACGAGTCCGACGCCAGCACAGCGGTGACGTCAGTCCCACAGGCTGATGCGCCCCAGACAAAGTACAGAAGGATTGACGAGTTCATGACTCCCGTAAGGCGCATCGGCGGCATCGGCGGGAGCACAGTGGACGTCAGTTCAGCGGCCAGCGAAGCGGCGCCATCGATTGCCGCTGACGTACACACTGTACTCTCGGAGGCCTTAGCAGACGTGCCGATGCAGCCTGCGCCAGCCCTCAGCACGACCAATGGTCAGAGCAATATCCTCGAGGCCAGAGACGATCAGGCCCCTGCCGCTTCGATGAAGGATGTGATCGTCCAAGGCGTCGAGGCGGGCCGTGCCGATGAGTTCCTGGAGAGCGAGGTGGGGGCGCAGCTGACGGAGGAGAACATGGCGAAGTTCGACAGGGTGATGGGCCACATGCTCAATCATGAAGCTCGCGCCGAGTGCTTGATTGAGTCGGCGAAGCGAGCCCACGCCGAATCCAAGCTGGCCTCGAAGGACGAGAAGCTGCTCACGTCGTTGCAAGAAGTCATCCAGACGGGCGCCTTCAACACCCGCAGCAGTTATGGCAATCGGTTCCGCGACGAGCTTGCGCAAGACAAGAAGGAGAAGGAGCCGACAAGAAAGACAGGAACGGGCAGCAAGAGTACAGGATGAAATGGGCCCTCGACACCGTAGGGGCGCTCGTGAAGAAGAAGACCCACACGACTACGCTGAAGGAGTCCACAAAGGCAGAGTACAAGTACATGACGTTCGGCAAGATGGTAGAGGAGTTCGGCGGTTGGAAATGCCAGGCTGCCCGCAAAGGAGCTTCTACCGCGGCCCTCAAGTGCTTGGCCATGGGCCACCCGTTCGTGAAGAAGCACAGCCAGTCGGACATGACTATCTTCGCGATCGTCGAGGAGAGCTGGAAGGAGACGTTCGAGCAGAGCTGGTCGGAGCTGGTGCAGAGCGTGTCTTCCCACGCAGCCGTCGGTGACCTTCCAACTGGCACTCCCGAGGAGCCGAAGGGCCCGCAGACGGACCAGAAGCACCCGAGGCTCCCGAAGGACCCGAAGGGCCCGAAGGATGCGATCAAGAACCCGCCGAAGGAGCCGCCCATCGACGATGCCGATACGAAACAGAAGAAGAAGGAGATCGAGAAGCTCTTCAAGGAGGCTGGCAAGGTGAAGCACGACTTCGTTTCCGTCACGCACACTGCGATCGACATCCTCTCGCAGATCAACGACGAGACTGCTGACTGGAAGTTCGCGCGCGGCGACAAGCAGGACATGCTGAAGGAGAAGATCGACGACCTGAAGGCATCCCTGAGCCCCGTCGGGAGAGAGTTCGTCCTGGAGAAAGACCAGAAGAAGTTCAAGGCGAACCACACGACTGCGAGGCTCGTCGTCGAGATGCAGTCCTTCAAGGACTTGCAGAGCAAAGTTGCCGAGTTGCAGAGCATCGTGGAGAGGCTCGGCGAGGCAAAGAAAGCGCTGAAATTCTGACTGCCTCGCTTCAGCAACGGTTGCGGTGCTCCCTGGAGTGTGAAACATGCTTCGGGTCGACGCACGCTTGGGTGAAATCCGACCAGCCCATCAGGAAAACCGCAAACTCTGAGTCGATTTTCGCGCCCGCGAGGTGCGAATTTGGTTCCCGAGCCCGAAATTTGGAGTTCCCGAACTATTGAAACAACTATTGAAACAACTATTGAATCAACTATTGAATTAACTATTGAATCAACGGTTTCGCTTGAGACATCCTCAAAAAAACAATTGAATCGCCACCCAATTCAACTATTGAAAAACTATTGAAAAACTATTGAAAAACTGTTGAATCGTCGCGGGCCCTCGAATTGAGTGGCGGTTTCTGGGATTCTGTGATTTTCTGCAGAGCGTTAGCTAGGGGGAGCTGCAGATGGCAATGGCCGCGGTTGATTGCCGAGCGCTTGGAGTCGCATGCTAGATGCCATGTGAGCCTTCAAAAGAAGAGCCCTTGTTACCGAGGGGAATGGGGGAGGAGGAGGAGGGGGAGGGAGGAGGAGAAGGAGGAGGAGGCGGAGGAGGAGGAGGAGGAGGAGAAGGGGGAGGAGGAGGGGGAGGAGGATGGGGGAGGAGAAGGCGGAGGAGGAGGAGGAGGAGGAGGAAGCGGAGGAGGAGGAGGGGGAGAGACGCGACCTAGTGTCGACATGAATCTACAGGGGCACGCGCTAGGGGGTGAGGATTAAAGGTCCCCCTACTCCGGAGAAAAAACATTCCCGACATACCCAGATTTTGCCCCGGCCCCGACGGCTCCCTGGAATGCCCAGTCGCCCTCCGACCCCCTGGAATGCCCGTGCTCGGTTGTGCTATCCTACCCCCCTCTTTCCTCTTCCTCTTCCTGGCTCTAAGGACCCTTACGGCCACGGGAAATCTCTCCCCCGTCCTCGTCGCTTTCGACGTGCGCAAAATTCGTGGCTGCTCGTCGCTCTGCCTACCGCAGTCCATATAGAAGAGCCTCGGGCCCCCCTGCTGATGCTGCTGCTGTGCTGCTCGCGCCTCCCTCCTCCCCATCTGCCCCCTCCTCCTCCTCCCTCCCCGCTCCTTTTCCGCAGCCGTTTTGGCTTAATAGATCTCTGCAGGGCGCGTTGCTTCAGACCCCTGGCCCGACCATCGCTAGTTCATGCCGCGAAGCTGGGCCACGCCGACAGTTGCTCCAGAACCCGCGGCCCATGCGTGGGAAGATGCATCGGTTGATTCGGATTCGCCGTGGGAAGAAGCATCGGTTGATTCTGAATTGTTGGCTCACGGTGACATCGATGGCGCGTCAGACGGCGAGTTTTCGCAGTCGGACGCCGAGGGTGCTCGCGCGACACCAGGCCAAGAGTTCATTGATTATATGATTTGTCTGCTCCTCAGTCGGTCTATCAATGCAAAGAAATTCTGCACGGTCATGTACTACGCATCGCGCGCTGGCATTGCGGATGCCGACGCATACAGCGTGGACCCACACGCCCCGTCTGGGCATTTTTCCAGGCTTGTCAAACGAAAGCTGCCAGCATATGCTCCAGACAGAACAAAAAAGCTTTACAGATTCACCGCCCCGTCTTACTCCAAGGCCAGGCTGGGGCGCGATGAACACACATTCACTTGCATGGTGCCACACGAGCTGGTTGCAGAGAGTTTGGAAGATGACCCAAGTATCATTGCTGACGTTCAAGATGCGATCGACTCGATGGAAATGCCACCGTGTTTCTTCGAGAACCCAGTTGTCCAAGAACATCTGGGGCCAGACTCGCCAATCATACCGCTGGGGTTGTTCACTGATGGTGTCCCGTACAGCCAAACCGACACAGCAGTCGGTTTTTGGTTAGTGAACATGGTCACGCAATCTCGAGTGTTATTCGCGTTAGTACGCAAGAAGCTTGCGTGTCATTGCGGCTGCAGGGGCTGGTGCACATATTTCAATATTTTTTCTTTCATAGCATGGAGCCTACGCAGCTTGTGTAAAGGGTCCTTCCCACTTGAGCGCCACGACGGATCGGAATCCCACCAGCCCTCTGGGCGTAGGTGGTCTAGAGCAGATCCTCTTCCACCCCTCCCTCTTCCCCCTTGGGGAGGGGTTTACCCCTCCCCCTACCCCCTCCCCTGGACCTGGACGGGGGGGCCGCGGGTAGTTAGAGCGTCCCAGATGGCCCAAGACGGCTCCAAGAGCGCCTCAGAGAACCCAAGATGAGCTCCAAGATGGCTCAAGATAGCGCAAGATCGCTCGAGATGGCTCCTAAGATGGTTCCAAGAAGCCCAAAGACGGCCCCAAGATAACTCCAAGTGGCCAAACAGCTCCCCAAGGAGGCCCCGAAGAGGCCAAAATCGTCCCAAAACCTAAGGAAAATCAATGATTTTTGCTTTCTCGCCTTTTCGCTTCCGATGGCCATCCGAGGCCTGGAGATGGCTCCAAGATGGCCCAAGAGGGCCCCAAGAGAGCCCCAAAAGAGCCCCAAGACGGCCCCAAGAGCGCCCAAGAGCACTCCAAGAGCGTTCCAAGAGGGGTCCAAGAGGCGATTTTAGGGGCTTCCGAGGGGGGACGCTAATTAAACCCCCCCTCTTGTTTGATCGACTCCCTCCAAGATGGCCCCAAAAGCGCCCCGAAGGCTCCCCATAGCGCTCCAAGAGCGCCCCAAGACGCGCTCAGGACGCCCCAAGAAGCGCCCAATGGCCTCTCAACAAACCCCCAAAAGGCTCCTTCTTCTCCTCCTCCTGCTCCGATTCCTCTTCCTTCGTCCTCTTGGGGCTTGACGGTTTCTCCGGCCTTTTGTTTCTCCACATGCTCCGCCACTTCTTTGATCAGGGCAACTCGTAGGGTTATCGTCACTCGATGGGCTTCTCGACTTTTTCATCCTATGCCCTTCCGAGGCCTCAAGCTCGTTCCATAAATCCAACAGACGGCTTCAAGAGAAACTCAAGAGAGCTCCAAGACGGCCCCACCTGGGGGCGGGGCGACGACGACGACCAAGGCGGCGGCGGCAGCGATAACGACGCCGACGACGGCCCGACGACGACGACCCGGCCAAACCATGCGCATGCTCTAACAGAGCCTGGAGCGACCATTTAAAATGTTTTGTTGTGGCCTTGCGCCGGCCGTTTTTTGAAAGCCCCAGGGACGTCCGCGGACTCTCCAAGGCTTTCTAAACATAACCCCGCTGAAAATGGCTATCAGCTAAACTTGCAGGGACGACGTCGAAGACGAAGGCGGAAGCGGCGACGATAATGGCGACGGCGACCCTGACGATTTGTATGTCCTCATCTCCGCCGCTCACGGCTTACTCAGGCTTACTCGGCAGCCTGGCATACGGCGCCGAGAACTTGCTCAGAGAACTGCGCAGAGCGCGTTTCATTACCTCCGATGGATGCGTCTGGAAGTCACCGCGCCGTGCGCGCAACGGAAATGTCCCGAATTGGGCCAGGTGCGAACGCCGCGTCAAGGCCGAGAAACATAGAACGCCTCGCCGCGCCGAGCGCGCATGGCAGTGGCTCCAGACTCCAGACGCACCAACGCGCGAACGTCGCACTAGGGGCAGCGCGTGATCGGAACACTCGCTGCTCCAAACTCAGAGAGAGACAGGCGCTCGCGCCAGAGAACCGAAACGTCTACCGTCTGTAGAGGCGTCCATCGTCTGTAGACACTGCGCAGAGCGCGCCTCGCTGTGCCTCAGAACTGCGCCGAGCGCGAAAATTGCGTAAAAACGTTGAGAGGGTTCCATGGATGCCGCGCGCCATCCTCTAGGCGCCCCGCCCCCAGGCCTTTCTCCACCAGGCGGGCTGCGGATTCAGATCGTCCAGGAACTTTCGCTCCTCGGCGGTTATCCCTGTGTCGCTGCCCGGCCAGCGCTTCTCGTGATACACGACCGGGGCCAACGGGCACTTCAATTGGTGGATGGGGCAAAAGCACTTACAGAGACGCTTGCTGCCCTTCAACTTCCCACGCAGTTCTTTCACCCGCCTCTCCGCTGCCGCGGCGCACTCTTTGCACTCGAGTTTATGCCGTGAATGGTATTTGTAATTGCTGAGCATCATCGCATCGCACTTCTTGGCCCCGAACTGGCCTTTGCACCTCTGGCATGTGTACGTCTCCACGTCGTCTGGGTGGTAGCCCAGACTGCGGCAGGGCTTGCAGACGAGAACTGTCTGATGATTGCTATGGTTTTTGCGTTCGCTCTTGGACCAGCTGCTGAGTTCATACGCCTTCTTGCAGGCACCGCAGCGCAGCTTGTTCTGGCAGTCCTTGCACACCTTGCGGGAGCTTGCCTGCCTCTCCGCATTCTGCAGCACAGCCTTGTCAAATCTGAGGCTGCCGAAGATCTCGAGACACTCCGCGCACTTGTGCTCTTCGTATTTCCCCTTCCTCGGCGTAAAGCCTCGCTCCTTGCAGTTCGGGCAAACGAGATCTCTCCCCTCTGAATTCTCTGAAGAACCTCGATGATGTTTCAGGAAGTCTTTGGTCCACGTGCTCGCCTCGAACAAGTTCTTGCAAGCCGAGCATCCATGGTAGCCGGCAGTCACTTTCCCATTCCCTTTCCACCTGCGCTCCTTGCACCGCCTACACGCATCAGATTCACCTAGATTGTTTTCTTCCGTCGCTTCTTCAAGCTCCTGGCTAGTTCGCTTACGAGAAGCTCTGTCCGAAGTCATCTCCGCCTGCGCCGAGCGCGAAGCGTCCGCACCAACAGCCTTCTGGCAATTCAGGCACCTCGTCCACATACCCTGCGACACATACTTGTGGTAGAAATCACCGGCATTCTGGACGCCGAAGCTGGCGGCGTCGAGCATGTACCGCTTCTTTCCCTGGAGATAGCAGCTTGCGCAGATGTGTACCATTGTCACGGGGTCGCTCTTCTCTTCTTCAACTGCAGCGTCGTCTGCGTCTTCGGCGTCCCACTCGTCCATCGCTTCCTCCCACGTGATTTGCCCCATGAGTTTCCGTCGTAGCCGCTCTGGTCCTATCGGGTTGCCGCGGGAGAACAGGAACGTGG